TGGGGCGGTGGGCGAGAGCCAGGAAGGGCCTGTCTTTCCAGCCGCTGATTTCCTCCTTCAACGTGGAATAACAGCGACTAAAGCGATGATGGTCGATCAAGTTCTTACTAGACGTGCAATGCTGGTCCTGGCACACACGCCTCCCTGATGCCTCTTTAAAATGAGACTTGGTTGTGTTTGAAGACGATGCGAGGAAATAAAACCTCGAATCTCTGATGATTGGAGTTTCTGGGCCGTCAGTACTTGGCTGCGTCCGCCCTCCGCCAGGCTCACCCGCGCGGCGTTGAGACTCGGGCGAGGGTGTCAGGAGTCCGGGCCGCGTGGCTCAGAGGCCTCTGCGTTCCTGTGCCGTCCCCCCAGAAGGTCCTGAGACCCTTCCCGCCGTCGTGGCTCCTGAGCGCACCTCTGGCAGGGTTTATGTCCAGCTGCGACCCTGGTTTCCCCTCCTCAGGGCGCTTTCACAGCTGCAAGCATGCCTGGGTCTGGCCGCCTGCCCGGTGCGCCCGCGAGGACTCCAGCCTGCCTTTCCCGAGGCAAATCCCTCCGTCGCTTCTGTTCCTCGGCAGTGTCCAGTTCAGGCTCCTCTGCTGGGTGCAGGGACTATGGGAAGGGCCGGCCTCACCGGGACTCGCTGTGCCGTGACGGCCGCGGGTTTGGGCACAAACGGCGGCGCGGCATCGCGCAGAGATGGAGCGAGCTGCCTGCCCGGTACCTGCCGGTTCTCGGCACCGTGGGGATTGCACCAAACTGCTGCCTGATGGAAGGGACGAGATGCAGAAGTCAATCCAAGGGAGCTGCGCTTTACCCACGGAATGTGTGTTTTTTAAATGCAAGATGGTGAAGCTGCCCAGCGTCCTCTGCGCTTTCCCACCGAGAGCGGGGGCGCGGCTGCGACCTGCTCCCTGCGCCTCAGTGCGCGGTGCTGCGTGCTGAGGGGTGTCGGCGTGTGGCGGCAGGTGTGCTGTCCCCTGCGCATGGCTTTCAACTAAATCTGGAGCCAGGCAGGTCTTAAAGGCGCTTTAAAAGGGGCTTCGTGCTCCCTCCTCGGCCCAGCCAGCTGCTCTGGAGGACCAGGTGTCGACAGCAGCCCCTCCGCTGTGGGGTCCGGCTCACGTGGGGCGCTGAGGACGCCGGGAGACCTTGGAAGGTCACAAGGAAGACAGTGGGCTGTTGTCGTCCAGAGGATGACTTGGCTTTGGACCTTGAGAGAGTTTCGCTAAGCTCCGGCTGAGACTGGCGGCCTGATTGGAGGCGGAGGGTGCGCGGGCAGGGCCGGCCGGCGGCGTGCTCCAGCGGCCTCCGGGAGCCATGGTGCTGTGACAGGTGACGTGGGGAACCGTTTTGTAAGCACAGCCGTGCGTGGCCTCCTCAGAGAAGGAGCTGGTGGAAGGAGGTTGGGTACAGAGTCGGCATCGGGCTGAGGTGTGTTGTGGCAGGTGGGGTCCCCCTACGTGAACCCCCAGAGTCCTCATTTGGGCTCAGTAGATACTTCTCGTGGCCAAGAGAATCCTGGCCGCAAGCAATACTTGCCATTACCGAACCTGTTGGTCAGAGCAAGTTGTAGGTTCGGGGCCAAGGGTGGGCGTGGGTGAGTGGACTAGGGAAGAGGCCGTGGGATGGGGGGCCAGGAACCGGGGAGGCCTGCCGGGCCCAGCCCGTGTGGCTGGAAGCTGGGGAGGCGCTCAGGGGCTGCGTGCTGCAGAAGAAAGGAACCATTTTCTCAGTTGAATCAAAGTAAGGTAAGGGGCGGTTAGGAAATGTTGCTGGGAGTCCCTCGTCCAGGCTCAAATCGCCGTGTAGGAGTTGGCTGCAGAGAGGTGTGGACAGTACCTGTTCAGAGGCCAGGACGCATCAAGGTAGGACAAGGTGGCCAAAGACAAACTCTTCAGAAGGGGAGGGTGTGAGAGAGAAAAACCCCACAGAGGCAGCGGAGAGTGGCGGCTGCAGGAGGAGGCCCGAGAGGCTGCGCTGCCCCTTGTCACCCCTCCGGCCCCTTCAGGTTCCCCCCCCAGGCTGGGAAGAAGGGAGGCTTATCTCATCCTCTGCACATCCTATTTTTAACTTGGGGTGTAGTAACCGTGAGGTCTTTGTGGCTTTGGATTGTTCATTTTTACAGAATTTGCAGCTTTATAGAAACGGCGGATAAAATCCAGCCAAGTATTGGTTCCTGTTTGTTGCTTTTAGACTGGAATTGTCTGGAGCAGCCTGCCAGACACAGCTCATTTATGGGATTACAAACTGTTTGGTCTTTATTAGAGGTTTGCCCTGCTGTTTATTTTCATTGAAGCCCGACCGGAGACGGTAATTTAATACGCGGATTAAATGTTATGCCTGCCATGAAAATATTTCATATTCTGTATTTCCCATCATAATAAATAGTGATTTCATAGTGAACATTCATTGATCACCCGAATTTCAAGTTTCTGTTTGTACCAGGCCTGGTGCTCAGCCAACTTCACATCATGTTCACGGCAGTCTTGGAAGGGATCGGGATCTGGGTGGGTTCGTGAAGAAGCTGCGGGTCGGAAGCCACAGGCTCTGGGATGCGGTGACTGCGGCCCCTGCTTGGGCCTCTGGGCCTGACTCTGGGGATGGACTTCATCCCAGACTCATCACAGGAGACCTGTGTGCACCCTGAGAAAAGGTGCTTTTGTCACACAAAGCATGTTCTGCCATCGTTGCATCAAGACAAAACCTACTGTGTGTGTAAGACCTTTAATGGAAAGGAGCTGTAATACAATTAGTGTGCAGCAAAGAGAAAGGAAAGAATATAGTTTCTTCATCAAGCACCCGAAGGTCCCCATCCCCTCACGGGCAAATGTCCGGCCACACAGGGTGGACCCAAAGCAGGGCCACTGGGCGCGAGAGCTGCCTGGCATCCAAGGCACCTTCCTGTGGGAAGAGCAGCAGGCCCTCTGCGCCCTTGGCGGCGGCGGTGGCGTTGGCCGCTGGAGCACGTACCCGCCGACCTCTGCCCCCATCTATTTGCCAGCCTCGTGCCCTGCTGTGTCGTGCCTTTCGGGGGAAGCCCGTCCCCGCGTTCACCCTTGTGTGTCTTTCTTTGCGCCACCCGTGATCGGCGAGGGTGTGCTTGAGGGTGTCCCTCCCGCGTCGTCCTTAACCTCATCCCCGAACAGCTGGCTGGCAGGAGGCGCTGCCTGGTGCCAGCGGACCAAGTGGTCGTGCCTGTTCCCCAGAAAGGCAGATTTCTGGAGTCACCCCACAGTTCCTGTGCAGGGCCAGGCGGCCGCAGCTCCCCGGCTTGCGCGTGAGTTATCGTAAATATGCCGGCGTGCGCCTTCCTCTCGTGCAGTGGCGCGTTGGTGTTTCATCAGCACCATCTCATACGTGCTCCCGGGTCGTGCTTTCCCGTGAGCCTTGCTGATGAAGTCAAGTCCAGTGGGTTTCTCCCGGGTCCAGCATGAAGACACGTGACTGGGGGTGGCGTGTGGGTGCTTCTCAGCGTGTCGCACGCCCGGCCTGGCTGGCCCAGAGGACGTGTCACGCCGCCTCCTCTACTCGGCATGCGGCCGCAGGGGCTCGCGTATGGTGGGTGACTGTGGTAAGCTCTGGCTCATGTGTAGGCCCGGGGGGCACAATGATCCTCTTTAAGACGCTTTATTCTGACGCGTTGAAGTGATAAGGAGGATTTTATTCCATAGTCTTGGCCGGGGTGTCCAAACTGTCAAAATAGGAAAGAGATAGAAGGGGGTTCAGCTCTGCACCCAACAAGAATACGAGGGGATGTATAGCCAATGAGCAGGTCGTGGTGGGGGGCAGTCATCAGTGGATGGAAAATCGCTGAGGGGATCACTTGGGGGGAGAATTCTTGCTGAAGGCAGGTCAGAGACTTGGAAGTCGAAGTTGGGACAGGCGGGATTTGGTCAGATATCCAGGGGGAGGCAATCTCTTTGAACTAACTTGGTGTGATGCTTGCTAAAACCCGCAAAGATGGGCGTCGAGGTCAAGGAGGAGCCAAGGTCAAGGCTTATTCAAGGGAGGCTCGGAGGAATCTGGCGGAAGGTTGGCCAAGGAGCGCGTCTTTGTCAGGTTGCGTGAACTAAACATCAGGGTTCAGAGATCGGCTTAGCCCATGAGGATGGCTTTAAATGAAGTGTAGTGTGGATTCCAGATAAGAGCACTCTCTTGCTGGCGCAGGCCTCCTGGCAAGGCCAGCCTGAGTGATCAGAGCAGCCCCCTTCTGAACACCTGGCAAATGTCAGCTTTCTCCATCCTGAGCCCCGCGAGCTGGTTGTGCCTCCGCAACTCACCTTTACGAAGAAGGAAGCAGGCCCAGTAGAATTCAGCACTTTGCCCAAGGTCACAGGGTCAGAGGGAGGCTGGCTTTCCACCCAGGCAGACTGGCTCCAGAGTGCACTTCTCCATGGCAGGGATTTGCTTCTTATTATCCTGGCTTTTCTTTATTAATGTCCGGGAATTGGGACGAATCCTTCTTCTGGGGTTACTCAGATGCCAGGCTTTGTTCCGGCTAAAGCCTGAACGGACGCATATGTAGCTCAGTCTCCTGTAAATCACAGGTCACTTGTAAACAGCTGCTCTTTCCAGAATGCGCCTGTTAAGAGAGCGTCCCCTACCTGCCCCGCCTTGTGTGTAGAGTGGCGTGGCGACCCTTTCTAATCAAAGCTTGGCTGTTTTCTTTCTCACTGGCAACCCCGGGGGCATTCCTCCATTTTTATAAGGGCTCCATTTATAAGGAGTGAATGGTAGTTCTTTGATAAAGACTTTGGAAATTGGCTTCCAGATAATCCAAGACCGGCAGCAGAATTCTCTCTTAAAGGGCAAATCCCTCTGAGCAGAGCAGATCCAGCTCCTAAAGCATTTCTTCAGCAGTCCTCTTGAATTCCACTTAGACTTGTCAAACAGGTATTTTAAACACTCTGATTAATGTAGACTTTCAATCCACATCGTAATACCCCATGTAGAAACACTCGAATACTCCACTGGCACCTTCAGCTCACGGTTTTGACTTTCAATTGCAGATCTGTCTGTGGCAGTCCAGAAATTCTCCCAGTCTCTGCAAGATTTCCAGTTTGAATGTATCGGTGATGCCGAAACAGATGACGAAATCAGTATTGGTGAGTACTGTCCTTCCACCTTCTCGGTGACGGTGTCAGAAGTCCTGCTGCCGATACTGACCTCATTGATCTAACTCGTCTACACACGCAAATACCAAACCTCTCAAATATCCTCTGCCTTGGCCGAGGTGACCGCGGAAGACTGGGTTAGAAATGGTTTTGAAATTGAGCTCTGTGGGTTTTCCCATAAGGAAATTACTTAATGGTTCTATTACTCAGCTCGGCCCGCTGAGAAGATGGGATAACATCATTTGTTTCTGCCGCAAGTAAATGGTTCAGACAGATGCATTGTGGGCATCCCCTGTCAATACACAGCTACTGGTTTTAAGAACCATCTGACTTTCACAGCTTGCTACTGATTTCTCTTTTAACGCGACTGTTTATTTATAAAGAACAAAAATGGGTCATTGGGACACTTGAGTCCAAACCTGACGTGGCCTCGGTCACTTAGCGACCTGCTCCCAGCACGCCCTTCCCGAGCCGGGCGGTTTCAGTTCCCAGAAAGTGCTGAGCCTGGGCCGTGCGTTCCAAGACTTCTCTGTAGCTGAGTTTCTTCTGTCTGCAGAGGAGCTTCAAGAAGCGTTGTGTTTAGCAGTCCTTCTTATTTTGTAGACGTGGGTCATTTTAAAGGCTGGACTGGACAGAGTTCACACAATTAGACTGTATGAAATTCAGCTGTGCATTTTAGCGAGTAATACTGAGCACATCCACCTTCCTGGTATAAAAATACAGCAGTAGGGCCTCCCCGGTGGCTCAGCGGTTGAGCACTGGGTTGCGAAGCTGCTCGCGGCCTCTGCAGCGCCGGTTCGATCCCCGGCTGCTCCCCGGCCACCGGAGGAGGGTCCCGCATGGCGCGCAGACCTCTCCTGCCGCCCGCTGCTCCCCTCAGCAGTGTCCTTCGGTCCTTCTGCCTGCTCTGCTCCCCGCTCTGGCTCTGGTGGATTCTCTCACCCTCCCGCGCTTCTGACTGTACCCAGTGCATGTATAAACAAAACAAACAAACAAACAAATAAATAAATAAAACATGCCTCTATTAAAAAAAAATACAGCAGTAGCAGGCTTAGAACAGGTCCCCAAACTCTCATGTATGTGTGAAGCACAGGAAGCCCTTACTCCAGGCAGGTCCGATCCTGTAGGTCTGGCGTGTGACCCCACGTTCTATCGAGCTTGGGCGGGGTGTCCGTGCTGCTGGCTCAGGGACCACACTTTGAGGAGCAGGGAGTTACCCTCTCCGGCGTGCCTCTCCGACCCACCCCTCTTGATTCTGCTCTTCCTTTTCCTTCTGTGGTTTGGCCGGTGAGCATACTTGTGTTGATTTAAAAACCTTAGCCTCGCTGTGAAAGGAAAAGGCTGTGTCTCACTTAAGCCCACAAGGTGCCTTTTGGGGAGACCGGGGCAGCGAGCAGAGCCTCCGGCAGGCAGTGGGGGGCTGCTTTGAGTGGATCCCACGCGGGACCCCGTTCGCTGGCCACTTGAGGAGCCTGGTCACTCCCGGGTGGTGGGGCTGGCTGTGTCCTGGGATGCCCATTGGCACTGGCTTCCCTTCTGGGAGTGAAGGTGGTTGTGCCAGGCTGTCCTCTTCTGGGGTGCAAATGGGGAGCCGGTGGGAGGTGGGAGCCTGAGCAGCTTCTAGTGCCTCCCACGTGGGGAAGGCCAGCACCTGGGATCTCACGGCTTGCATCGGCGCCGTCCCGGGCACGGCCCTCTCCATCCCCTGGCATCCGCAGGCTCGTCTCGCCGGAAGCAGCCCCTGCGGCACAGCCAGCCAGGCCAGCCTCGGCCGTGGCACCGGGGCGCTAAGGTCCGCTAACTCCTCAGGGACGGGACACCCCGCTCACGTCCCGGCCCTGCGGCCACTGGGGCCGGGCTCTGCGCTCCAGGAAGCAGAGGCCGTTGCTGTCTGGTTTGGGTTCTGTGCCTTTCAGTCCACGTCTGCAGAACCGGGCGGCACCGTCTAGAATCACACATTCCAGAGAACCCAAGAAACCAAGAGTTAAAACTGGCCTCGGCTCTTGCAAAGGAGCAGACCCAGGGTGCCGCGTCTTGCAGTTGGGCAGGGCGTCGGCCGCCAGCCCCCTCGGCAGGTCCGGGGGCTTCTCCGGATGCTCAGGCTGAGAAACGTCTTTTCTCCTCTGGAGCCGTGAGTCATTTTCTGCTGCTGTGAGCAGTTTTTTCCTCCAAGCTTTGCTCTGGTCAGGCGCTCCCCGGCCGCTCCCGGCGGCTGTGTGCTCTGTGCCCAGCCCCCTTCAGCTGCGCCCAGCCCAGCCCTGCGAGGGGCACACGCTCACCGGCGCTGCTGTCGAAGACATCGCTCTCCTGGGACTCTGGAAAGGGCTTTCGCTCATGCTTGTGTTTTCCTGGCGGAACAATAACACAGGATTCTGTGCCCTTTGTCACACCACGGGGGAGGCCCTCCAGCAAATGGACTTTAAAGTCCTTCCTGAGGCCACAGGGAGGGCCCGGACTGGGGCTCGTGACCCGGGTTCTGCTGCCTCCGAGCAGCGGCAGGCAGGTTCCCCGGCGGCGGAGCCCTGGGTGTTCCAGCATCGCCTGGTTTTTCTCTCCACTGTGGCTTCGGGCATCTTTGTGGCACTAGCAGCTTGGATTTGGAAGGTGTGGGTGGCCGAGTAGCTGGAGGCTTGCTGAGGACCGTCACTACTGGATTGCGATGTTCGGAGGGCTCGGGGAGCTGGATGTATGAATGGTTGGAGGACAAGGGATGAAGACTGCGTGGAGGGTCCTAGAAGATTGTTTTGAAGTTAAAAGACATCATCTAATACAGAAGCTCCTCGGCTTTATTTTTTTTTTTTAAAGATTTATTTATTTATTTATACAAGCACTGGGTACAGTCAGAAGCGCGGGAGGGTAGGAGAATTCACCAGAGCCAGAGCGGGGAACAGAACAGGCAGAAGGGGTGAGGTACACTGCTGAGGGGAGCAGCGGGCGCAGCAGGAGAGTCTGTCACGCCATATGGGACCCTCACTGGCTGCCGGGGATCGAACCGGCGCTGCAGAGGCTGCGGGCACCAGGGAGGCCCTCCTCGGCTTTATTGAAAAGATTTGCAAACATGTTATTTCTGGAAAAATCAGTGTAAAATGTTTTCCTGTCCTCCCACCCAACAGTCCCTGTCCTTTAACTGAGCCCCAGAGGCTCGGGAAATAGACTGGATTCCGGGCCGCGCGAGGCAGCAGCTGACGCACAGTGCTCGTCCTTCAGAACACGGGGCCATCACGGGCTGTGTGGGAAGGTGCCGGTCCAAGGCTGTGATCTGAGAACCGTGTCCCCGAGACTGATGGGGAGGCTGGTGTGGGTGGAGTGCAGGAGACACCCTCTCCCGCCCCCACCCCGCCCTCCGCAGCTGCAGGTGCACAGGGAGGGCTCAGCCCCCAGTCCTGTTGCCCGCGGGGCTGTGATCTAATGGCGCAGGAATGAAGTGCGAGTCCTGGCACTCCCAGGCCTCAGACTCTCAGTGAAACAACCACTCAAAATCGATGACGTGCATGAAAAGTCCACCTTTTATAAGTGAGCGGTGCCAGGGCAAATACCTGCTCAAAAGGTGAGACCTTTGCGGAGGCCTTCGTGTGAGCTGTGCTGCGGGCGGCTGGCAGAGCCAGTCGGTGACGGGGCTCGGCCCCACCGTGTTGACTCTGGGCCCGGGTGAAAAGCTGACTTAGAGCCCAGCCAGGAGAAGCAGGCGCTGTCCCCGTGTCCTCCCCAGGTCCCTGGGCCGTGGGAGCTGGCCCCAAGGCTTGCCCGCCCGTGAGTTCCGGGTCTGACCTGTAAATGCACTCTGCTCTCCGCTGCCCCCTCTCTCCCCACCCGACCTGGCACTCGCGGCTGCTTTTGTTTGTTGGTGTTTCGGTGCTGGTGAGACCTGGCTGGCGTGGAAGGAAGTGGAGTGGGGTTCCTTGTCTGAGCCCCGTGGGGAATTCCAGGGGCACAGGGCAGCTTCAGCACTGGCGTCCCGGGCAGGGCCTTGCTCTCTTGTCTGGCACCTACTTTCCATCCCAGAGCAGCAAGAGGGCTTTGCGCCCCTCTTCTCCATGGGTGCACGAGCTGCCTGGGGGCTCCCTTTGGCTGCTGGTGAGGGCTGGCCTGGGGGGACAGCCCATCGGGTCCATGCGACTTAGCACCCCACAGCTCCTCCGGGTGTCCACGCTGACGACTGCACTGGCTACCTTCAAGTTGGGGTTCGGGAGGAGGGATGCTTCCAAACTGGTGCAAGCGTCAGTCCTCAAGTTCTGCTCTCCTGTGGGCAGCTACATCCCAAGGGGGCCGGTCCCGGACTGTCTTCACAGTCGTGCGGGCGTGAGTACAGCGTCCCCACCTCCGCGAGCGGGGTTGCCGGTGAGCCCTGCCGTCAGGCCGCACTAGCAGGCAGCGCAAGACTCTGCAGAGAAAATCCGTTTACAGCGGTTCCTCCAGGCGAGTGGGGCTCCTCACCTCCCCCCCGGCACCTGCCTGAGAGGCTGGTCGTGCTGCTGAGTGAGCATGTCGGACCCCAGGGAGACAAAAGGCTGTAAATCTCAGGCTGTAAATCTCAGAATTTCTGTCCTTTGTGGAGCAGGAACACCAGCGTACGCTGCTGTGTCCCCGAGTTTTGAACCCCCGTGTTCTTAGCTAAGATGCACTTTGAGGCCGCATCTTTGAGGCCCAACAGAAAGGTGTGATTTGACTCCGTTCTCCAAGCAATAAGTAAGAGATAGGCTCTTAAGTAAGGCTCTCAATAAGTAAGGAGGAGGCAGAGCAAACAGTTCAGTTTTGGGTGCTGGGAAAGGATTTCTCCGTGGAGAAACACCTTCGATCATCTTTAAACAGCCTTGGAAGTCTAGGTTAAAATGTGCTGCATGTTGTCTGTGGAGCCACAGTGCACCCAACAGAGCTTAGTCACTAGCATGCCTAGGATCGCGCTGTGTCATCTGGGAAACCTTTGGAAAGTCCAACTGTGCTTGGAAAGTCCAAATGTGCTTGTGCATAAACACCCCGATACTGGCGCGTGG